GCATATATATACGTCTTTGAACCGTCGTGCGGTTCCGGGTATGCTTGAACCGTTGAACCGAGTGACTTTTTCTTCTGACCCATTATTGTTTTGCAATAATTTCTGGAATATATTATTGTACCGGATTCTGTTGATGGCAATAATACCTATTATAATAAGCAAAACACAATAATTGCAGTTCCGCAATTATTTTTTCCGAGGTCTGGAAAATTCCACGATTTCGTGATATAATCCACAGTTTGGCAGGTTAATCCACCGGAGGGCCAGGCCAATCCATAGTATTGCGGATCCATCCATTTATAGCTACATGTATGCCAGCCAATCAGTTCACTTGGTTGGCCACTACAACCTTAAACCTTAACTCCACCTAGCTCGTACTCCATATAACTGGCCCATTCCCTTCGAGCTTGGGCTTACTTGACTCGGGATGGCGTATTCTGGCTAGCAGCTAGGTATTTGAATTGCGACGTCAGTGCGACTGTCTCTTGCTGAACGAAACGAAGTGCTATTCGGGAAAAGGATATACTCCAGTGTGCCTAGTGTGACATTCGCAACTTCTTTGGTCGTGGCAACGTTTATTGTCACCTGCACGGGCATTCCAGCAACGAGATCTATGTAGGGGGCTAAGCAACCAAAACGAATATCTGCATTTCCATAATCGCTTGAGCGTACGGCCGGATAAATCCGTCTAGTACGCTTTTGAAGACTGCAACCACCCGAATACGGAGCTGGTGTGATGGAAGTAACGTTGCTATCTCCCTTCTAAATGCATTTTTGATGGGCAGTCGTGTTGCATTCTCAGGTGAAACAAAAACACTACCGTTTCCAGCCGTGGTAAATTCCGGTGTTCTGTCAATCATTCTGTTATTTATGAGCCGGATAAACTTAGAGATCCAGTCGCCTAATTTAGCACGCCGGCATCCTTCATCCAATTTTGGGTCTCTCTAAAATCGCATGGATTCTTCTAGTGTGAAAACAGTGGTAAAGTTTCTCCAGAGATCAAATCCTGCGATTTATGTAACGCTAGGAGCTTACTTTGTACTGGGGAGCATTCACGTTCAAATCATTCCGAATTGTCAGCACTGTTCTTTCGAAAGTGAGTCACAAAGATTTGAACCTTGCTCAAATGCGGAATTCTATCTTCCGGAGCGCTGACGGAGAGTGCGTTCCGGATGCGGGTGGGCTTCATGCCGTCAGCAGCTAGCTCACGCGCTCGCCTTTTTTTGCTCAACGGTTAGCTTTCCAGAAGGTGGATTCATGACTTGTACTTCATTGGCGCCGATTTTATAAATATTCGCCACACTGCTTTCTAAGCAAGCTTTCACCTTGAGCCGCAGTAGACATTTTATTATCGCCACGTACGCCGGATGAAGATTGGTCGGTCGATATTGCAAACTGAAATTGTCCGTGCAAATATTTTCCTATGAAGGGCATTGCATTCATATGCTGCTCGCCCTTCACGCACGGCTCGGGACTGATCAGCCCGACAGGTGTAGGATCTACAATCGAAGTCGGCGCAACAAAAGGAAAATCATGGAGGCACAGATTGTCGAAGCTGTTGCAGTGACGGAAGCGAAGACAGGTCGACCAGTTCTAAATAGGCCTGCTTTAACATATGTGTAGTTTTGATCATAGATCTACCGTGCGGCCTTAACTAATGCGGTTTCGTGAGCCCCACACTCTCAATATTAGATACAATGTGCTTCAAGTGGTGAAAATGTGATTGCGACTTATCTTAATTGACTCAAATTGCTCTTTCGAGCATTGGGTGGCACGAAATAGAGGCTTGCGAGGAGAAATCTTGCAGCAACGAAGAAAATACAGACGTTATTGACTAGTGGGATGAAGAAGCAGCGATAAATACGAAAGCTACAATAAACCAAGCTCTACTACATAGTAGCATAAGGAGACGTTCAACTAATTCTCTGCTCCTACGAGCAACTCTCTCAAGCAAGAGCTTCCGGCCCGATCGTTCATCTTCAAACCACGAGTGAGTCATAGGCGCTCAATCAGCAAAAGATATAAGCAGGAGCCCCTCACTTTCAATAACGACATAATTGGAAAACAAAGACCGTAGTGATGTTAGTGAAGATCGGTTCTACCTGTTGCCACTACGGAAATCTCGATGGGATGCATCCTTTTGTAAGGAATAAAACCTGCTGTGTCTGATGCTACCGTCTACTTTTCACCACTTGGAAATCGCCCTCCCATAGACGTTCAAGATACTGTTTGTGGAGACGCATCAGCAGCTGACAATCCGGCGCACCACATATTTCCAGTTCGATGCGTCGAAGACGGGATTGAAGAAGCTGTACCTTGTAGGGTCTTCTTCTTCTTCGTCATTAATAAGGCTGTCTGCCCGGTCGACCTGCCAGAACCGGGATATTCTTACCGGCCCGACTGCGAAAGACGTTCTCGCCACTCTCTCTGCGCCCCTCTTTGGGAATATTCTTTCATGCCCAGGCGTACGCTTTGGCATCCCCCCCCCAGCGGATACGTCAAAGGACCCAGAGCCGTCCGTCCATCATGTGACGTTTTCCAAAATTGTAGAGCGAGAGGGAGTCTTTACAAATCAAGCATTAAAATATGAAAAACGGTAGTTGGGGTTCAATCACGGTACTTCTGCTGTCAATATAGGTAAACACATGCACATTACAGGACTACGTCGATGTACCGTAACTGACACCAAGTACCGTCTATAAAACCAGAGCCGTAATTTTAACCAAGTACCATGCCACGCATTAAAACACCGTATTTGAAAGTATTCGCAAATGTTACTACACGCTTCTCATCATGAAATACGTCAGCACTAAGCAAGGAAACTTATTCAAACTGATGGGTATTACTATCGTATTCGAAGTTCGTCATCAATCCAGTGTACGGTACAATTGTAGTACCGACAGGAATGCTGTCTATTATCCGCACGCCTACTCCATTAGCAGACGTGATTAGCTCAACGTCTGAGTGTTCGTAGACTCCATTCGAGCAGCGGCCTCTAGGCGCGCAATTTTCAAATTCGCAGAAGATTTGTACCGCTGCATGAGGACATGTATCAGCGTAGCAGTCACAGTAGCACTTGCATCGGTCTGATGGCCAATAATCTTTGATCACAATTTCTTCCTTAATGTTTAGCTGAAGATAATGAATGATTGACGCTGGCCAGGCAATAGCTGGAGCCGGCTGTGAGGTGCATGCGTCTGGTTCCCCAGCTGCTAGGTTAACAACTACGTCCTCACGATCTGTCTGTTTACATTATTCTGTTTCTCGAGCTTTTCCTCTCTCTATGTCGTTTTTTTCGACCTCCTCGTCACCTGCATTGGGCTGCGACGATTTTCATTCTCCACCCGTCGCTGACGAAGGAGCTGTAAAGCCTCACGAACGCCTGGTAACTGCAAGAATGCTTGGATAAATTTGGTTTGCATTGACTTCGCGTGATACACGCGCTTTGAGACCTTAATTGCTGCTCGATGCTCCTGTCTCGTCGGCTTTCGGGAGGATCTCGAGGGGCACGCGTTTTTCCCGAATTATTTTATTTTTCTTCTCTCTTGTTTTATACGTATGAATAGAAACCTCAGCATTCAAGGCGGCCTCCAGCTTTTGCTATTATTGGATCTCTTCTCGTGTGTCCTCATTATCTCCACCGCCATCCTCTTCACTGCTAGCAGTTAGGTCGACAACGTCCACGCCCTCCTCCTGGCTGGACGATTCATCGCTGCTAACGAGTTCAACCACGTCAAAGCCACCAGCTGCGCTCATCTTTTTTTTTAGTGTCCACCACAGAACTTAAATTGACTTTATGCCACACCAGCTACACACAAGTGCAGCGCAGATGGTCGACTTAGATCCCAATTTACGGTGGGTTTCTGTTGTTTTGAGACTAATCCTATCGCGCGCGGGGGGGGGCTTCATCGTGCGTCATGTTGTTACATCGTTGTGGACTGGGCAGGCCGTTTTGTAGAAATTCTCTCAAAAAGCAAGAGATTTTTCTAAATTTCCTCAAACGCACAATATTCTAGACCGATTACAGCTCTACTGTGATCTGTCTAGAATAGCGTATGAAACTCAGAATAGCATATGAAGCGCAGAATGATAAGGCTTAGCCAGCTCAAGTAAGTTCTTCACTTTTGCCCTATCGGTAGAAAAATGGTAAGCCATAATAGACGTGGTGTTCTCTGAAAACTATTTCAGAGTATAACTAACTTCAGAAAAACTTACGAAGCGGCACTCTTTTGAAATTACCTTCTTAACCCCTTAGTTCCCAGGGCCCGTGTCGAGCGCAAGTGAACACCACGATGGCGAGCGAGGCCACAGACGACGTAGACCTGACGCTGGTTCTCTGTGCAGAGGTTCTGAAGCAAGAAGAGGAGTTGAACGACGTGCGACGTGTAGTATTTGACGTGCTGATGGCGGATGCGTGGAGAATCGCCATGAGGAGCCGGCACTACCTCACGACAAAGTGCCTTGACGCGCCGAGCGAATCGGCTTGGATGATCCTGTACAAGTATGGCAACAACGTGAACTTCCTCAATGCTACCAGTTTAACCAGGTGAGACCCTATCTAGTGTTGTTAAAACTGCACACGTTAACTAATCGCTACATGTCTGTAGACCTGCGTTCAACCAGCTCCTGCGGAGGTTCAGCAGATTTTACTTCATTCCACGCCACACTACACGTGGCCGCCCACCCAAGCTACGACACCATCACCAATTGCTGGGTCTTTTACTTTCCTTCTACGTGGGTTCTATGGAGCAGACAACGCTGTGCTTGGTATTTGGTGTCCCCCCAAGCACACTGTCACGGACACTACGTCGCGCAGAGGAATCATTGGCTTCTGCACTTAAAGGATATGCACCAGCAAGGATCTCTTGGCCTTCTCCATCTAGTCAAGCCGAAATGGCTAAGCTGGTTGAAGCTCGGGAGCCCCTCCTGCAGCACACCTTCGGATTTATCGACGGAAAGAACCTGAGAGTACGTGTATGGAATTTCAAACGATTTTTATTTTACTTAACGTTTTCTGCTGTGTTGCAGGTCCAGCAGCCGTCAGGCCGAGCGGTCTTCAGCATCGAGTGTAGTCTCTCCGACGCAGTGGTAGCACACAGCTTGGCGCCACTGGACTCCGCACGCCGTTTCGAATGCGCCCTCGAGTAAGGCGCGACAGCTTCTCGACGTATACCCCGTCCACTCCGCTTGGCCTTCAGTGACTTGTTCGCGCTTGGGCGGAGAGGCGACCGTGGTGCCGTCTCCAAGAGCACCGGAGACGATGTTGTCAGGCTACGAGGTGCGAATCGCACCGGAGAAGTCGGTGGCTCCGTCGACGTCTCACTTGGAGGGCTTTTCCTGGGATTTCTTGGCTCTGGAGGGCTCCTCAATGATGTCACAGTCCCGGTGTAGCTGCATGAGAAGCTTGAGTCCTCGTAGGGGATCGACGTAGTGTTGGGCGGCGTGTTCTCATCGCTGGAGACGTCATCAATCCACAGACGTCTCTTGTGGACGGCCGAGTACAGCGGGTTTACCATGCGTCTGAACAAAACAGTTTCAATTAATTACAAACGAGCACTAGAGTTGAAACATACACAACGAACCTCGAAGCTGTCGCTGTCTTCGCCCTTCGGACGAAAAATTCAAAGTGATTGGGGTTTTGGCGCGGCGGAAGATATATGCTTCAAGTTAAGTCCAATGGGTGCATGCGACATATACAGGAGTGATTGTAATCTTAAAATATACAAATTTCAAGACTAAAAGTTAAGATGGCTGCACGACATAACTCGCGGGGTAGGGGAATCTATTGACACGATATTTACGCCTCCGGGCCGGATATGCGCGTATATGCCTCGACTTATCTGCTGCAGATAAGTCGGTCGTTTAAGTGATATCTGGTAGGCGCCCATTCCCAGGCATTCCGAAATAATCATTGTATTGCAGCTTTAATACAATAGTTTACACTTAATTATTGATTTTTACAAATTGGATGACTTGTCCAATTAGTTATTTTGTATTTACAGCAAAGTACTTTATTTTTCGTAAAATCTAGTTTTTCTGCTTTGTTCTGCGTAAATACGGAGCTCGGTCTCCAGACAGAATCGAATGGCTGTTAGCGACGGTCGCTCAAAAGCGAACCTGAGGCGCTCGTTTATCATTTTTAATCTCACCATGGCTCTCTCCAACACCTTCACGACCAAGCAAGTCTGCAGCTACTTTTTTACTGCTCTATTAGACGCTCAAGATGAGGCGACGCAGTATTTTCGGTGCCAATGCGGTACCACTCGCAAGCAGGACCCCAAAACAGGGTACTCAAACCTGTTTAATCACGTGCTGAAGCGACACCCCGATTACCTGACGACGATGCAGGTAAGCGGCTTCAACTCGGGCACCCTTGTCACCTTCATCGACCAGAAGAGGCAGACGGTTTATAGTTGGGCTCGTCATGATAATCGAGTGCGATCTTCCCGTTCGGGTTTCTGTGAGAATGACACCGTCACAAAGTACACTGGTGATGAAGCCAATGGTGTGTCGAGACCCTTCCTTAAGTACGCGGACTTAGGTGACTAAAGAAGGGTCCGAGGGTTACGCTTGACCGAGGGTGCTCCCCCACCTAGTTTGGGCATCATCCTTCGACTGCTGGACGGTTTACGGTGGAGCATTTTGTCCGCGGTATTCACGGGATTTTGGGGATGAAGGTCGGAGCGGAAAAAGTTCTTTT